TGTGCACATAGGGAGAGATTTACTAACTCTAGTGCAGCTGTGCATGGTAGCCAATCAGCTTCCAGGTTTTATTGTCAACGCTTAATTGAACAAGCTGGAGTTAGAAGCTGATTGGCTGCCGTGCATGGCTGCACCAGATTCTGTGTACTCCAGTTTTAGTCAACCTCCCACATAAGGTCAAGATCTAGGACACACTACAGTGGCACTTAAATAAAGGAGAGATGAAAAGAAGAAAGAAAGGATAAGGGAAAAAGAAAAGAGGAAAGAAAAAAAAAGAAAAGAAAAAAGAAAAGAGAAAAAGAAAAGAGAAAAAGAAAAGAGAAAAAGAAAAAAGAAAAGAGAAAAGAAAAGGGAAAAGGAAAGAGGGAAAGGAAAGAGGAAAGAAAAGGGAAAAGGAAAGAGGAAAGGAAAGAGGAAAGAAAAGGGAAAAGGAAAGAGGAAAGGAAAGGGAAAAGGAAAGAGAAAAGAAAAAAAGAGTTCACATAGGAGAGAGAACACAAGAAACAGAAAGAGAAGGAGAGAAAGTGCAAAAGAAGAGAGAGAGAGAGAGAGAGAGAGAGAGAGAGAGAGAGAGAGAGAGAGAGAGAGAGAGAGAGAGTGCAAGAGAGAGAGAGAGAGAGAGAGAGAGAGAGAGAGAGAGAGAGAGAGAGGAGAAGGCATAAAAAGGAGAGATAGGGAGGAGAGGGAGAAAAGGAGAGAGGGAGGGGACGGAAGTGAGAGAGAGAGAGAGAGAGAGAGAGAGAGAGAGAGAAATAAGCAGAGTGAGAAAGATACTGAGACTTACAGCCTTGTACCTCCCCCAGTCCATGATCTGACAGTGAAGGAGCAGCAGCACAATCGTGAGGCCATTTATTGGTAACTCTGCTCTCTTCTCCTATCAGCATTCCTCTCATCTGAGCCGTTTCTTGCACTGCTTCTCATCTACCTCTCTCTGAGCTCTGCTGTACAGGGAAGTGCAAAAGACTGATGCCAGGTAAAATTCAGGCACCAAAACTGCATGCATTTATGTATTTAAAAATAAATGTGAGCATGTATTAATGATTACTCAGCTGCATTAATTTTGGTCTTTTATAATTGCCTTAAAGATGTATTAAACCCAAAAGCAAACATTTATTATATTGCAGCTAACCAATTCTTAGATATTTTGGCTGCATTAGTTTTCTTTTTTCATCTGGTGATCTGGCCAGTAAGTCTGTTGTTTCTCAAAAGAACAAGCTGACCTGCAGAAGTAGCAGGCTTGTGAAATATAAACTGGAGTTTGGCCTCCCTTTTGATAAGTGTTTTTTAATCTGTTAGTACATCTAACACTCCCCTCCCCTAGATTGACAATGCTGCTGTCCAAAAGTACCCCTGTGCTCCTTCATCCAAAGATGGAGGCACTCTAATACAACAGGTTACCGGCTTGATTACCAGGTGAAAAGAGAGGAAAAAAATGCCTGGAAAAAAAAGTAAAAATAATACGTCCACCACATCTAATGACTGGAAAGCTACAATATATATTATATTTTTGGTTTTAATACCAATTAAAAGTGGTATTATACCCAAAACCAAAAATATAATATATTGCAACTTACCAATCATTAGATGTGTTGCCTGCATTCATTTTCTTTTTTTTTGGCTTTCCCCCCTGTTTTCAACTGGTGGTCTAGCCAGTAACACACCTCCTGTATTAGAATGGCCCCACTCTGGATGAAGGAGCACAGGGGCACCTTTGGACAGCAGCATTGTCTGGGGGGAGGGGGAAGTGTTATGTGGACTAGCAGATTTAAACACATCAGTAAACGTAAACAAATTTCCAGCTAACACTTTATAAGCAGTTACAGCAACAGTTTTGTTCCTTTTTGGTTTTACATAAATAACAGCTGATCATTGTAAGCACCCCTGACAGTGGTAAATGGTTTGTCTGATCACAGCAACTGCACATCTAAGGATTGTTAAACTGAAATATAATAAGTATTTGTTCCTGGGATCAATACTGCTTTAATTTCAGCTTTTACGATTTGTAAAAAGGTTAGTCCACCCCAAACTGATGTTTCAGTTATAAGCAGATGCTAATGGTCTGGTACCCCCTGGATTCTTCTGTCTCTTGTATGAAGGTCTTTTTGTTCAATACTGCCAGTTGCTATAGGCTAAATGAAGATTATCAAAGGCCACCTGCAGTGTTCTGCCATGGCATTACTAACTGGAAGTCAACTGTGTAAAAAGACATCTCTCACCAGCATATTTTATCTAAACAGCTAAACAGAGAAATTATCTGGAAATGTTATCTTCTAATTTATATAAACACAGTTACAATTTATCTTTGGAAACACTTTGAAGCGACCCTGTCACAAACTTTGACTACTTTCCCACCGCCCTATAGCAGATATACTGATACAGGGTGGCAGGGGTGCGCAAAATCACATATATATATTATATATATATATATATATATATATATATATATATATATATATATGATTTTGCATTTCTGGGTAGGGGGCGCACATGAGCTGGTGCGCCCTACCTGTGCCACCATTCACAACCGCGGCTGTCCATCACTGGGTCCCGGGAGGTGATTACCCGCCAGCACCTTTTGATTACCGAGCATCTCCGACGGGGAGGAGGACTGTTTTGTTTACTAACAGTTCTCCTCCCTGTCAACTCGGGCACAGCCATCGAGAGCAGTGTGATTACAGTGAATCACTGCTGACAGGGCTTCCATCTTCACCCTTCTGGGTTCACAGGCTCTGGCCACTTGATTGGCTGTGCCGTAAGGATGTCACTCCTGCGCATGCGTGCAGGAGTCTCAGCTGCATCGCAGAACTCTGAAGTAACAGCGTGGTTATGACATTCTTTCAGAACGCATGTGCTGGTGAAGTCACTCGCTGCAGGAATACGAAAGATCTCCTAAATGGTGAACGTTTAGGAGATATTCCTTGTACCTGCAGGTATGATTTATTATAAGCTTACCTGTAGGTACAAGTGTCCAATGGGAGTTTATTCCCACTGTAATTAGCACTACTGAAGTCGATCCAACTTTAGAAAAGGTTCCTGAACTACTTCAGGCAACTTCTGCCCATATACTTTAATGGAAGTGGCTTGCAAGTCGGAACCTCATCTATACTGATGTGATTTTGAATCCTACATTAAGGAAGATTACAAAGAACCAGCAAACACAAATGCTCCTGCGTTTGGGGATGGACTCGATGAAGGCTACAACCACATTAAGAATGTCCTGGAACATGCACACCTTGCTGCCCTCAATAGACTGGGGAAATCCAAATATACTGAATGAGGAAAGAACAAACAGAGGGCGAAAAGGAGGCTCTGAGGAAGAGGCAAGTCCTCGAAACGTGTCAGCCAATTGGATGTCTACACTCCCCATTGCGGACTGTTACTCAGCGCGGTGTTGACCCAGCTGTTCTTTTATGACGTGCCTTGACTTTATTGTCGTTTGTGAGTACAACACCTACTTTATTTCTTATTAAACATTTTTTATGGTAATGCACTAGGCTGGTGCACCCTCTGTTTGTTCTTTCCTCATTAACCATTAGCCGCCCGGCCAATGGCTGTTTGGCGGCTTCAAAAGTGTTGCTGCATTCCAGGTGCACGCCATTTGGCGTGCTCCCGCACATGCGCAGTTTGCGCTAATTTAGAGCGGCGCAGCAGCGCGATCTGTCACCGGCCGTGTACCTCGGACACGGCCGATGACAGATCCGAGTACTGGCTCCCGTTGCTGGTACCATGTGACAGTCACATGACAGTTGTATACAATGGATGGCTTCATTCATGCCATCCATTGTATATTAGTGCCTAGCTGTGAATGGTCACAGCTAATCACATGCACATGTCATGTGATTAGCTGTGACCAAATCACAGCTAAGCACAAAAAAAAAAAGAAAAGCTGAATGAATCGATTTCATTCAGGTAAATGCTTGCTTATAGCAAAGTAATTCTTTGCTATAAGCAAATTGTGTAAAAAAAAAATACTGATCACTTCCCCAAACTAGTACAATGTTACTATGGTAACATTGTACTACTTTGGTCATAGTAAAATATGAAAAAAAAAATCTTAAAAAAAATAAAAAAAAAAAATGTAATAAAAAATTAAAAATAATAAAAAAAAAAAATATATATATATATATATTTTTTTTTTTTTCATACTGTCACCAGTCAGTGTCCCTGTTCACCGCCATGCCTGCCAGTTATGATGATGCTGTACTGCACTGGTGACAGTATGTTAAAAAAAAAAATAGTGAAAATTAATTTTTTTAATTTATTCATTTTCCGAAAAATTATGACAAAAAAAATACAACTTCAAAAAACTCGCCATGCCTCTTATGAAGTACGTCAGACTGTCTACTCTGCAAAAAGGGGTCATTTGGGGGATATCTGTACTGTCCTGACATTCTTGGACCTCAAGAAATTAGATTGGCTGTCAGTACTTCAGGATTGATCAATATTCAGATCTATACCATAGTTTGTGAACTCTATAACTTTCCTACAAACTAAATAATACATCCTAATTTGGGTTATTTTCACCAAAGACATGTAGCAGAATACATCTCGGCCTAAATTTATGAAGAACAAATTTTTATTTTTTTTGTAAACTTTTATAACAGAAAGAAAAATGTGTTTTTTTTTCAAAATATTTTGGTCTTTTTTTGTTAATTTAGTAAAAAATAAAAACCCCAGCGGTGATTACCGTATTTTTCGCTCCATAAGACGCACTTTTTCCCCCCAAAAATATGAGGGAAAATGTCTCTGCGTCTTATGGAGCGAATACTGACCAGTCCTCCACCTGTCACCGCCGCCGTGTTAGTGCCAGCGGCTGTCCCATCCCAGTGCAGCCTGTCCCATCCCACTGCAGGCTGTCACCGAAGTTCACCCTGCCCTCTCTCAGCGGGCTGTCCCCGCAGCTCTTCATAGCAGGCAGTCCCCTCGCTGAACCCAGCCAGCTGCTCTGCAGTCTGGTCCGCCCTGCAGGCGTGGCCTGTCCTCGGAGCTCCTCCCCGCTTCTGGAATGTCTATGTACTGAGCTCCCAGCTCTGCAGTCCGGTCTGCGGGTGTGGCCTGTCCTTACAGCGCCTCCCCTTTCCTGGCATGTGTCCATAGTGTGCTCCCTGCTCTACAGTCCGGTCCTATCTGCTGGTGTGGCCTGTCCTCGGAGCTCAGTGCGCCCCCTGCCTTCTATAGCCTGCCTTCTGTAAGTTAAAATGACAGATGCTGGGAGTTGTAGTCCTTTTCCTTGATGTATGGTGTCAGATCATTTGATATTCTGGGTGGAGGGGCCCTGTTGGGACTTGATGTAGTATGTCCGCAGTCTCTGGTCATCCCCTGTACTGTGTCCGCAGTCTCTGGTCATCCCCTGTACTGTGTCCGCAGTCTCTGGTCATCTCCTGTACTGTGTCCGCAGTCTCTGGTCATCCCCTGTACTGTGTCCGCAGTCTCTGGTCATTTCCTGTACTGTGTCCGCAGTCTCTGGCCATCCCCTGTACTGTGTCCGCAGTCTCTGGTCATCTCCTGTACTGTGTCCGCAGTCTCTGGTCATCTCCTGTACTGTGTCCGCAGTCTCTGGTCATCTCCTGTACTGTCCGCAGTCTCTGGTCATCTCCTGTACTGTGTCCGCAGTCTCTGGTCATCCCCTGTACTGTGTCCGCAGTCTCTGGTCATCCCCTGTACTGTGTCCGCAGTATCTGGTCATCCCCTGTACTGTGTCCGCAGTCTCTGGTCATCCCCTGTACTGTGTCCGCAGTCTCTGGTCATCCCCTGTACTGTGTCCGCAGTCTCTGGTCATCCCCTGTACTGTGTCCGCAGTCTCTGGTCATCCCCTGTACTGTGTCCGCAGTCTCTGGTCATCCACTGTACTGTGTCCGCAGTCTCTGGTCATCTCCTGTACTGTGTCCGCAGTCTCTGGTCATCTCCTGTACTGTGTCCACAGTCTCTGGTCATCTCCTGTACTGTGTCTGCAGTCTCTGGTCATCTCCTGTACTGTGTCCGCAGTCTCTGGTCATCTCCTGTACTGTGTCCGCAGTCTCTGGTCATCTCCTGTACTGTGTCCACAGTCTCTGGTCATCTCCTGTACTGTGTCTGCAGTCTCTGTTCATCTCCTGTACTGTGTCTGCAGTCCATTGGTTCAGAATATTTTTTTCCAGTTTTCTGCCTCTAAAACCTAGGTGCGTCTTATGGTCAGGTGCGTCTTATGGAGCGAAAAATACGGTAAATACCACCAAAAGAAAGCTCTAGTTGTGTGAAGAAAATGATAAAAGTTTAGTTTGGGTACAGTGTTGTATGACCGCGCAATTGTCATTCAAAGTGTGAGAGCGCTGAAACCTGAAAAATGGCCTGGGCAGGAAGGTGTAAAATTGCACGGTATTGAAGTGGTTAAGGAAGATTACCCAGGCAAAATCGCATGGCATGAAAGTCGTGCATCAAGTCGCATCAAAGTCATACTCAAGTCGCCAGCAAATCACCAGGAAGTCGCATGGCAAAGCCTTTCAGGTCGCAGTAGTGTGAACCAAGCCTTAAGCAAACAACAAGTGCAGCTTGCACATACTTTTTGACCTGTTATTCAATAAAGATGTTTTCTTCTATGCTAGTATTATTGTGTGCCATTTCTTTAATATTATAACGAAAAAAAAAATTGTGTTAGTTTACAAACTTAATAATGGCATGCAATGCCAAGCTGCGGTTTCTAAAGCGAGCAAAATCCTCTCTTGTATTAAAAGAGGTATAGACTCCAGAGAGAGAGATATCATATTACCCCGAACAAATCATTAGTAACACCTCATCTGGAATATGCAGTTCAGTTTTGGGCACCAATTCACAAAAAGAACATTGGGGAACTGGAGAAAGTACAGAGAAGGGCAACCAAACTGATAAGAGGCATGGAGGAGCTCAGCTATGAGGAAAGATTAGAGAAATTGAATTTATTCTCTCTTGAGAAGAGAGAGGGGGGATATGATCAACATGTATAAATATATCAGTGGTTCATATAGTGAACTCGGTGTAGAGAGTAGTCACCCTGAGGTCATCACAGAGGACAAGGGGGCACTCTTTACGTCTGGAGGAAAATAAATTTAATCTCCAAACATGGAAAGGTTTCTTCACATTGAGAGCTGTGAAAATGTGGAATAGACTCCCTCAAGAGTTGGTTCTGGACAGCTCGTTGGATTGCTTTAAAAAAGTCCTGGATTATTTCCTAGATACACAGAATATAACTGGATACTAACATTTATAAGTAAAGTTGATCCAGGGAATATCCGATTGCCTCTTAGGGGATCAGGAAGGAATTATTTTTCCCTGTAGGAGCAAATTGGATCATGCTTTGCTGGGAGTATTTTGCCTTCCTCTGGATCAACTGTGGGTATAGGATTATAACTTTTTTTTTTTTTTTTAGTGGTTGAACTTGATGGACTTTTGTCTTTTTTCAGCCAGACTAACTATGTAAGTATGCGTTAACATGCCTTGCCTTTGTTTACTGTTTAATTGTTGTACCCTTTGTGATGAAAAAAAAAGAAATACATTTTTAACTGTAAAAAACTAAAATTACACCCAAGCACATACAATCAACCTCCCAAATATTGTAAGCCTCTCCTCCACTTACATATGAACGTAAACTAAGGTGCCGCGAGCACCTACATACAAAATGATGATTGTGCTATGTATCTTACACATTGCTGCGCAATAATTTTAGCACTAGAACTGCTGCGTAACTCTAAACTGATGACCTTAGGAACATTTCGAAGCATCGCCTATGGAAAGTACTGAAGTTTGTGGCATTTCACAGGTACAGGCAAATTTGACATGTTGGGTATCTACAGGTGCATTTCAATAAATTAGAATATCACAAAAAAGTTCATTTATTTTAGTAATTCAATACAAAAAGTGAAAGTCATATATTATGGCTTACAGATAGTGAAAACCCAAAATTCAGTATCTCAGAAAATTAGAATATTGTGAAAAAGTTCAATATTGTAGACTCATGATGTCACACTCTAATCAGCTAAATAACTCAAAACACCTGTAAAAGTTTTCTGAGCCTTTAAATGGTCTCTCAGTAGGTTACACAAAGATGGGAAAAACTGCTGACTTGACAGTTGTCCAGAAGACAGTCATTGACACCCTCCACAAAGAGGGTAAGTTACAAAAGGTCATTGCTAAAGAAGCTGGCTGTTCATCCAAACATATTAATGGAAAGTTGAGTAAAAGTATGTAAGAAAAAGGTGCACAAGTAACAGGGATAACAGCAGCCTTGACAGGATTGTGAAGCAAATGCCATTCAAGAATTTGGGGGAGATTCAGAGTGGACTACAGCTCGTGACAGTGCTTTAAGAGCCACCACACACAGACGTATCCAGGACATGGGCTATAACTTTCGCATTCCTTGTGTCAAGCCACTCCTGAACCAGAGACAACGTCAGAAGCATCTTTATCTGAGCTAAGGAGAAAAAGGACTGGACTCTTAGTAAATTTTGCATTTCTTTGGAAATCAAGGTCCCAGAGTGTGGAGAGGCACAGAATCCAAGTTGCATGAGGTCCAGTGTGAAGTTTCCACAGTCAGTGATGATTTGGGGAGCCATGACATCTGCTGGTGTTGGTCCCACTATGTTTTATCAAGTCCAAAGTCAGCACAGCCCCCTACCAGGAAATTCTAGGGCACTTTACGCTTCCAGCATTATGAAGAAGCTGATTTCATTCTCCAGCAGGACTTGGCACCTGCCCACACTGCCAAAAGTACCAATACCTGGTTTAATTATCATGGTATCGCTGCGCTTGATTGGCCAGCAAACTTGCCTGACCTAAACCCCATAGAGTATCTGTACGGTATTGTGAGGTATCATACAATTCCTCCCTCCATGCTGCCAAACAAGCCTACTTTGTCACTCTTATTAATACCTTGTCATCCAGTCCTCGTCATCTCTTCTCTACTTTTAACTCTCTACTTTCTCCACCTCCACCCAGTACCTCACTCACTGCTTACGAGATTGCAAATCATTTCAAAAACAAGATTGATGCAATTCATAGGGACATCTCCACTGCACAGACATCTATCTCACTTCGCATACCTTATACTAAACCTACCTCAACACTTTCCTCTCTTGGCCTTGCTACTACTGAAGAGGTCACTAAAGTTTTCGCAGAAGCCCATCTCACTACCTGCCCCCTGGATCCTGTCCCCTCACAACTACTACGGTCACCCTCTTCTTTTGTCCTATGCTCCCTCACTCACATCTTCAATCTCTCCCTCTCGAACGCTGCCTTCCCCATCCCTCTAAAGCATGCACAGATCCCTCCCATACTTACTGTAAAAAGCCCTTGATGGACTCCACCAACCTGAACAACTTAAGACCCATCTCCCTGCTCCCGTTTACCTATAAACTCTTAGAACGCTTACTCTACAATCACCTGAGCTCCTACCTCTCTGACAACAACCTTCTTGACCCTTTACAGTCTGGCTTTCGCTCACTACACTCCACTGAAACTGCCCTACTAAAACTCACTAATGATTTACTAAATGCTAAAACCAATGGCCACTACTCTATACTCTTACTACTTGACATTTCTGCGGCTTTTGATACTGTTGACCATCCCCTCCTCCTCAAAAAACTCCACTCTTTTGGCCTCCAAGACGCTGCTCTCTCCTGGTTCTCCTCCTATCTATCATAGCGCTCCTTCAGTGTTACCTATAACTCTGTCTCTTCCTCTCCACGTCCTCTTTCTGTAGGGGTCCCTCAAGGTTCTGTCCTTGGACCCTTTTCTTCTCCATCTACACCTCCTCCTTTGGTCACTTGAAAAACTCCCATGGCTTTAAGTACCATCTCTATACTGATGACACATAAATCTATCTTTTTACTCCTCATCTCACCCATTCAGTCTCCTCTCGCATTACTAACCTACTAAGTGACATACCAGCATGGATGTCACTCCACTTCCTCAAACTCAATATTTCGAAAACTGAGCTCATACTATTCCCTCCAGCCGGTGCCTCCTCCCCTTACTTCTCCATCAAGATCAATAATACAACCATCAGTCCCTCCTCTCATGCCAGGGTACTAGGTGTAATCCTAGACTCCCATCTGTCCTTTCAGTCCCAAATCCAATCACTGTCCAAATTTTGTAAACTTTACCTCCGTAACATCTCCAAGATACGCCCGTTCTTAACCTCTGAACTACTAAGCATCTTATTCACTCCCTGGTTATCTCTCGCCTTGACTATTGTAACTCCCTCCTCAATGGCCTACCTAATCGCAGGCTATCCCCTCTTCAGTCTATCATGAATGCTGCTGCCAGACTCATCCACCTTACTAACCCTTCCATATCTGCCATCCCTCTCTGCCAATCCCTCCACTGGCTTCCCATTGCCCAATGAATAAAATTCAAAACATTAACAATAACATATATAAAAGCATTTATAAATCTGCCCCAAATTACATCACCAATCTTGTCTCCAAATATCACCCAAACTGTCCTCTCCACTCCTTGCATGAACTCCTGCTCTCCAGCTCTCGTCTCCTTCTCCCATGCTTGTCTCCAGGACTTCTTCGGAGCCTACCCCATGCTCTGGAACTCTCTACCCCAATCTATCCGACTATCGCCTACTCTGCCCAT